AGTATGTTGAGATATCATAAAAATCTTTTCAATCTATGTAATTTTAAGATAATGGGATTTTTTCATTTGTTAAAGTAAATATTAATAAGCCAATTTGTAAAGGTATCTTTTTACATTAGTAAACTTGGAGTGATCATTCTCTCCAGCTTTTCAAAAATTTTAATTCTTCTGTAACTCCCATGAATCTCGATTAAGTAAGGAAGGAAGGGAAGTTCAGTATTTGATGACAATCTCTGACTTCTGACAAACTCTCGAGATGTTACATATTCCAAATAAACTTGGACCAAAACACTGGAAATTCCCAGCAACTTGATCACTGTTCTATCAATTCCCCTCATGGCTACACAGCTCAAGGGTTACTTACTCCAGAAAGGCTTCCTTGATCTCACTCCAATGTAGATACTTCTTGTTCTTATTTTAACACAATGTATCCATCTCCTTTATAGCACAGAATGTATTACTTTATAATTCCTATTTATTTTTATGTCTTTATCTTCTGAAACTAAAAGCCCCTCCGGGAGGGGACAGAGTCCATGTGGCAAGTGCCCCACTGCTTAGTGCCGTTTCTGACTTGCAGTGGTCCTCGCTGGGTGTTTGCAGAACGAATGAAGAAATGACTGGCATTTACAACAGTGGCCTAGAGCTGGACACAGCAGAACGTGTGCAGGCTCATTCCCCGAGGCCCTGGACTTCCAGCATTCCTACAAGTGACAAGTTCGTCCTAAAAGCTCAGGATGAATTTGGCTTTTTTGGAAGACCACACAGCTTGGGAATCACCTCTACCCTGAAAGAAAGTCTTTCGTGCAGCCCGTTTCTAATTATCCTAAAAGTCACTGCAAAGTGTTGAGACCAGTCAATGCTCATTCGTTTCAACTGATTTCACCAGAGTGAATATGTGTATAAAGCGTGCAAGTGGAAACACACGGGAAGATGGGGACACAACTGGTATACGGGGAACTGTCAAAAGGCCAGTTATGTTGGGCTGCAGGAGACAGCCGCAATAGTATTTCGCACCAAAAACATGAAAGCAGTAAATGAAACATCTATCTTTCAAGGAGCAGAAATACAAATTTTCAGAGGACTTTTTTGTTCCCTGAGGAAAGATTTTCCTTATTAAGTGGGGATATTTTCCCTACAGTTCGTTGTCCTATGCTAGTTCAGAGGCAAGAGAGTTCTCTCGTCTTTGTGCTCCATGCATGGTCATCTGAGCTCAAAGATCTAATTGAACAGGACTTTTCTTTTAGGAGGCCAAGAGAGGGTTAAGTTCCACTGTGTACCTAAGAGAAATAAACCCTCTCAAAATACATCTTCACATTGGAGTCACGATATCTTCCCCTCCTGGGTGCTGGGTTCCATTAAGCTCCACCTCACTGGAGAGGAGATCAGGAGGGATTTAGCTAATACTCAGCAACTTCCCTCCAAACTGAAACCAGTTGCCTGAGATTTCACGCCCCGTCGTTGGCAGGATCAGCTCTAATCAAACAGTTTATCTGTCACTGGCTTGTTTCTAAGGTGAAGCCAGCACTAGTGTGGATGCAGTGTGGCCAACAAGGGGCTCACACCAGTGGAGAACCAGATTCCCTAACCAGAGGCGGTCACGCTGGGTGGAGAAGGGGAGGCTGGAGACGATCTACACAGGAACTGAAAAATAGCCACGCTGTCTACCTGTCATTTTCAAGACCGTACAGGTGCTTTAGTAAGTTCTGTGGAACCACTCCCAGAACGGGGACTACAAACCTGTAAACATAAAGGAGACTTGAGTCTCTTCAGCAACACTGGGAGGCAGTGCAGACCACAGAAGAGCAAAGCAGACCAGGAAGTAGGGCCATGGACACAGGGTGTCTCAGAGGCCTAAGGGCCCAGCACTTTCACTGGAGTGGGGAACCGGAGATCTACTGGCTTTAAAGGACCTGCCCCAGGCCACACAGTTCAGGAAGGGGCTTCTCTCAGAGCCTGGGTGGCCTCGTTCTCAGTCTAAGTGCTTTCCACAGCACAATGCTCAGTTCCCCGGGTCGTTTCTCAGCCACTGCTCTGGTTTTCAAGGATAGCAGGTCGTTATCGGTATCACCTTCTCAGAAGGGCCTTCGTGAGCATCACACCCAAAGCAGAACCCTGCCCAAGTCAGTCCCTGTTTTATTTTTATTACTGCACTCCTATTTTTCTGTTTACTTTTTAATAACCACCCCCAGCAATGTGAGCACTACAAAAGCAGGGACTTTCTCTGCCTCACTCAACACTACTTTCAGGTCACAGGACGCTATCTGGCATTAGTTAGGGGCTCAGTAAGTGCTCAACGTTGACTAAACAAGTCAACTACTACCCTTACAGGAGTTTCTGAATTCCCAAAACAAAGGGGAAGAGTGGACAGCACGGATACCACCATTCCTGATTTCCTGAAATCCTTATGAATGCAAATCAGAGCTCCTCTCTGCTCTACAATTCTTATCAAATGACTGCCAGTGCTGCCTTCAGAAGGAGGACAGTGTGGAGGACAGTGACTTCAAAGGCTGTGGGACTGGCCCAGCAACAAGAGAAACACTGGGGACTCTGATTAAGTGAAGGAAACCACCAACTGCAGCAGCTGCTGAGAAGTGGGGTTGGGGGGGGGTAGGGGTAGGGGGCACTTTCCTTTTTTTTCTGGGCTAGAGTAGAAAGGACACTTTAACTTTTAGAAAAAATATGGAAGTGACCGGAAAGCACAATGATAGCTATGACATTAAAAAAGGATGTGTGAGATAAATTGTAGGACTCAAATATACCCCACCTAATCTAGTCTAAAATACTATATACCGTGTTAATCGTTAAGGACACAAAACAAAACCAGGAAGTATAGACACATATTTTTTGCATGATTTGTAACAGAAATGGCATTAAAGATTTTGGTACAAACAGAAGATGGAGTGAATCAATGAATGTCAGTCCTCAGCACACTGCACTTGTGAGGGTTTTTCCATTTAGAGGCAGAGCATGGAAAGGCTGCTGTCCGTACCTAAGGGTTAGTGATTAAAAGGACAACGTTCTTTAAAAAGAAAAAAAAAAAAAAAAGAATGCAAAAATAAAGTACAAAAGCATGTGTATGTGCTTGCAACCAGAATACCTTTACTACGACACAGGGCCTGCGACTGTCCTCTCTGTGCTCTTAATGACCAAGCCGGGAGGCCAGCTCGGAAGAGGTTCCTCCATGAACAGCCATTAAGTGGAAGTAAACATGGACATCGTCTGTGATACTGGTTTTTGGGTCCCTTGGTTGGTCATCTATACGAAGGGCAGATCCTCTTTTCAATCAGGGAAAAGGCTGCCACTCAGGATTTAGAAGCATTTTGACATCATTAAACTATAATGATGGCATTGGAAGAACCTGGGGAATCTGAATAAAGATCATGAAAGTTTCACAGAGGAGAGGGCAACTGAGGTAGGTCTCAGTGAGGGTAGAGGGAAGGAGGAAGGCATAGAAGATAAACAACCACAGGCCCTAGGTGCTACTCCCGTTGTACAGTTGAAAAGAAAGACTGAAAAGCTGAAGTGGATTGCCCCGGCAAACAGCTGACTGAAAATTTCTATTTGGCATCAAAATGTCTATAACTTTCTTTGGGAAAGTCCACTGAAATTTCAGCACCAAAGTTAAGTTCTACAAGAGGAAGCAGGGGGTCATCTGGTTCTAGCCAAGAACCAAATCTCTGCATGCTAACGCTCTCTCATGAGGAACACTGCACATGTATCCCTTGTGTGGCAGGGGAAAACAGGCTTTCCAAGCACAGGGACAGCATGTGCAGTGCCCGCGGTGGATGTGGGGAACTGCTAATAGTCTCGTTTGAACTGAGCACAGGACTCATAAGGGCTAGGTTGCAGATGAGCAAGAGGGACCGCAGGGAAAACCCAGGACGGGGCAGAGTAAATAGATCTGCGCTGAGTGGTTTTGCACTTTGTCAAACAAAAAGCACTGACCATTTTTTAAGTTGGGAAGTGACACAATCAATTCGTGTTTTGGCAAAAACCCCCCCCGGGAGCAACACGGAAGATCAACTGGCAGAAAGGAAGCCTGGAGGTGGGAAGATTTCTGCAAAGGCCACTCTAATAATCCAGACGGCAGGCTTGAGAACCTCAGCAAGGACTGCAGCCGTGATGAGTTAAGAGGGAAGATTCAACACAGGCCAAAAATATCTGTAGGACCTGGGTGTGGGCTGCTGGAGAGGGAGCAGAATCAAACGTAGCTCCTCTGGGAAGAGCTGCCACTGGGAAAGAGGTCAATGCGCTATGAATTCAAAGGTCAGCTAAATTTTAAGGTCAGTTTACAAAAGCCAGGTTCCCACCAGGGCTGGTGGCTCAATCGATCAAAAATATGGTCACTACAGTAAAAAGACAAAAACAAAAACAAATCGACAACTAAACATTACCTATAAATACTTGACCAGGATCTAGCAATGGTTACCAACAGAGAAAAGAGCCTGATAGCAGAATAGAGTTAATCGAGTCCCCACCCAGATTTTTAAATAACAGGGGAAAAAAAAAAATACATAAAGTCCCTCCTTCTCACAAAAAACAGATATATTACTTTTAAGTATCTATATATCATCTCAACTGAGAAGTCTCTACGGAGCAAAACCTTCCAGGTCCTGTGCCAGAATGGGTCTGGGTGCCCCACGTGTCACCCAGGGCTTTTCAGAGTAAGAGGGCGTTTTGCTTGCTGGTTCTGTGGTTTGTTTCTTAGAGCAGGCAGATTCGCCACTGGTGGTCAGTGCGGAATGGTGAAGAGTTAGGGGAAGGGGAAGAAAGATTAGAGGGGCAGAAGGGGAAGGAAGAAAGAGAGAAATGCATACCATATTGCAAAAACATAGCCGGTATAAAAACCATCAGATTTTCTTTAAGCGCTAATTTGATTTTGGTGGGGTTTCCTCTTTAAAGGAGCAGAGCTGAATGCATCAGTATGAGCAAGGAGATTCACAAGCAAGTGCCTCTGTTTATAACTAACGTCAGCAGTAGGACCAGAGAGTCGTTCTTACCATGTTTCAGATGTAGGCAGCTGTCATTCTGGGACCTGTACCTGCAGAAAATTGTGTCTTTAACAAATTTTTACTGAAGAGGTTTTTGTACATTCCAAATACGTAGTAGCTACAACATCAGGTGGGCTCGTTTGCTTTACTTTCTATGGTTCTTATACCAGCCATTTTTATTTGTGCAGTACAAGTAGTGGCCTTACTTTTAATGAAAGAAAAAGGGGAAATAAATAGGACCTCACTCACTGATGCCTTGAATGAATGTCCGGGAAAGATAAACCCTGCTGTCATCATGTTTTCTACTTTCAGAAAACCCAAACCACAGAAAAGGTAGCATATGATAAAATCAGGATAAAAAACTGTTATTGTAAGGAGTTGTGCAAATGGAAACACAGCAGAAGTGCTACGGAGGGTATAGACAATAAAAGCAAAAACAAGACAAAACACCAACAGGATTCCAGGTGACAGGGTTTGGGGAAGGAATGTGTAGACGTACCTTCACGCACTCACATTGAAAAGAAAGGTCTTTTAAACATCTTTAAAGCATTTCAGGAAGGAAAGCAGAGTTTAAAACATCAGAGGTTACAGTTGCAGAACAAAAGCAGTGTGTCGAAGATGCCGACTACTTTCAAAGGTATTTGTCAGAAGCAGAGAATTGACTAGAAAGTCACATGGTGCCTACCTGATGTCGACTCCTGGAGTTTCTCTCTCTTCCTCTTCTTTTTCTTACCCTGGAAGAAGCCAGGCACATGGTCATGTTACACACTGGACTATGAACACATGGACGAACGGGATACAAACATACATACAAAAGGCAAGAAGTCAACCAAGAAGGGTGCCTCATTCTCTCCCTTTCCCATCTACACCTAGACACACAGACCGAGAGAACGAGAGAAAACAAATTGTCACCTCTTTGTGACCTTTGTCCCTACAGCTTCTTATTGAGTATCAGTACTGACAGTGGAAGTGGTTTCCCAAAGCCACGCCAGGCTGAGGAGGTCCTAGGGCCGTGGCACCAGATACCCGTTCAGAGAAAGCCCACTTAAGGAGGCAGCCTATCACTGACCACCACGCTGGGAACCCACTTCCGGCAGTTCATGATCAATCTTCCTTCCGGTGAATTCTACCATGTAATTAAAAGTACATGACATTAGCTGAGGACCTCTTGTCCCCACGGCACAGGCATGACATGATCAAGGATAGTGGCAGCAAGGTAAGATAGAACCTGAGAAAATGGAAGGTAATTTCAAAGGCTGAATTTCTGGCAATCAAGGACCTTGTTTCCTAAAACAGACACGAAAACGTGCAATCTTAAATACATTTGCAAAATCACCTTCACAGATTTACAATTTTAAGTTCCATTTGTACTGGTCTACTCTTGTTTTTCTTCATGATTTCCCCTAAAACATCATTGTAATAGGTAGGGCAGAGACACAGTATCTGTTTGATTTACGTGAACAGTAAATGGCCAACCTGGATTAGGATAGTACTTTCAAATAACTTTAACAGAACACATATCTCATCCAATATCTCTATCTTATGGCTGCCGTAATAATCACATGAACAAGGAACAAAACGTAAAACTCTAAGATTACACTGAACATACTATGTGTCTATATTTTTACGCATCTCAGGATAATTTTTCTTCGTGTCACATGACCTTGACCACTGAGGCTTTAGAGCCTAGTAAGGCTGACTCACACTGTCCTCACAAAGAGCAGATATTAGCGACCCTGGAAAATGGCATATCGGAAATAATGGAGTTCTCGTTAACATTATTATTAAAGTACTCTGGGAGAAGGGGAGCAGACAGAGGGAGAGTATGCTTCTCACGGGCTTCCCCGGTCTTCATTTCAAACGGCGTTACTGTGGTTTTCAGAAGATGCTATGACGTTGCTTCATGTGTCAGGAACTTCCTCCTCCCTTTCTCCTTCTAGCTCCCGTTTGCCCTTTAACATCATCTCAAGTGCCAGCTCTTCCAGGAAGCTTCTCGGCTCCACCACACCTCCCTGCCCCATCCGCCCCTCCCCTCCCCCCTCGGGCAGACCTCACCTCCTCCCAATGCCATAACTGGCTGTGTCCCTGAGCCCCCCTCCAGACGGCCCCTGGCTCCAGATCACAACCTGAGTGTGTCAGCCTCCTCTGCAGCCCTGTGTATGTCCAGCATGTGTGACTGTGGCCTGAGGTGGAGGACTGCCAATGCTTTGTGAAATAGCCTCTACTGTAGTCTAGGTATAAACCAGTGTTATGAGAGAACCAACATTTTATGGTAGACAAAAAGACCGGAGTAGTTTGGATGTACTCGTGTCAACTTACACAAAAAAACTCATTTGTGTGCGGTAAATATAAAAATATTTTTCATTAAAATATTTAATTATAGTTAATACTGGGATTATGAAGCATTAAATTTAAAAGCTCTAATACAAATATCTGACTGAGCTCACCTAAGAAAATATGTGTGCTGCTGTTTTATGAAGACTTCAGTTATAAAATCATGATGCTGTAGAATAGAGCATTTTAATATTAAATAGTTGAGACATAATATTTAATGTGATCTCAGTAAGGATGAGGATGCATTCTGACACTAACTGCTACGATACAAGACATGTATCTTGTTTAGACTCCATTTCTATGTTGTTATTTTAAGAATAATTAGCTAAAGTGTATCATTTGATTGACTTCTGTTTGCCTTAGTAATTAATAGGCTTATTTTTATTGTTATAAAAAATGATGTAACAAAGCTGGGTTTTCCCTTCATTCCGGGGGATCCCACAATCAAGTTATGTGAAACAATTTCCTTTAAAAATTCTGCAGGAAAAAACCTTTAAAGGTAAATTCACATTATACTGGATTTCTTCAACACTACTTTCTTCTCATCTCTCCATATGGACGAAAGGAGAGAGCGCGAGAGGGACAGAGTATGTATGTGTTCATCTCTTTTTAAAGCTTTATCCTTTACCTAAGGGTCAGAAACAGAACCTTCACTCAAAGACATTCAACAAGCAGTGCTAAATGTATACAAATCCACAGCACAGCTCCTCCGTGGGTCACATCTGCCCAGAAAGATGCTAATTACTGCCCAGAAAACAGAAGCACGGTTCAGGGGAGAGAACTCTTGCCCTAAAGCAGTCTCCTTAAGGCCCCCGGAAAGACCGTGCCAGTCTGCTGCACAGAAGGCAAACTGCACAGATTCGGACAGTCCGGGAGGGCCGGGTAATAACCAGCAGCTTAGCCACTACCTGGCCCTGGACCAATGACTTAACCTGTCCGACCCCTCGATTTCCCTCATCTATGAAGTGCAATAACACTGTTTATCCCCCCGAATTATTATGAGGATTAGAAAACATCACAGAAGACACTTAAGACAGTTCTGGACAATAGGCACACGGCAGTTAGTACAACGGCCAGACGGCAGCTCACGAGGGTCCGATGAGCTGCTGCTTCCAAGTAACAAAGAGCATGGCCCCTCCTTTCTTCGTCATGGTCGCAGCCACCGTTCAAGCTCCACATCCCCACCAGCAGTGACTTTTTTCAGAGCACGTTGCAGGAAATAAATGTGTTCCCTAAGTCTTGGTGTCCCATTTTATGGGACGTATGACCTCAGACATGGAGCCAACAGGACCATCGCCCCCAAGGGTCACACGTTAAATTAGATATCGATTAACGGCTTCACCTTCACTCTTTTTAGAAGGGACAATTCCTAGACCGAATATTAAAACTGTCCTAGCTGGCTTTTCTTTTTTTTTTTAATTTTTTTTTTTAATGTTTGTTTATTTTTGAGAGAGAGGATAGAGCACAAGCCGGGGAGGGACAGAGACAGAGAGAAAGGGAGACACAGAATCCGAAGCAGGCTCCAGGCTCTGAGCTGTCAGCACAGAGCCCAACATGGGGCTCAAACTCATGAATGATGAGATCATGACCTGAACCAAAGTCAGACGCTTAACCGACTGAGCCACCCAGGCGCCCCCTGGCTGGCTTTTCTAATGCCAGGCTCACATGGAGCACGAAAGTGATCTATAAAATTTTAAATTAGGAGCTTAAATAATCAAAACTGTGCCCTTCCATAAAATATAAAACTGAAATATATAATTTATAATACACTTTCTCAGTAATAGTCTTTGCTATATCAAGACCACGTTAGTAAATTGTTCAAATTCTAAAGTAATAAAATAAAGTAAGGCCCTATAAATGGGGTATTTTTGGCCAATTAGTATAACTTAAAAAAATATATTGGGGCGCCTGGGTGGCGCAGTCGGTTAAGCGTCCGACTTCAGCCAGGTCACGATCTCGCGGTCCGTGAGTTCGAGCCCCGTGTCGGGCTCTGGGCTGATGGCTCAGAGCCTGGAGCCTGTTTCCGATTCTGTGTCTCCCTCTCTCTCTGCCCCTCCCCTGTTCATGCTCTGTCTCTCTCTGTCCCAAAAGTAAATAAACGTTGAAAATAAATAAATAAATAAATAAATAAATAATACCTATTCCATCTGAATAAAATACATAATAGATATCAAGGTATGTTAAAGTGAAACAAAAAATTTTTTTAATTTTATTTTTGAGACGGCGAGAGAGAAAGAGAGAGAGTGAGCATGAGCAGGGGAGGGGCAGAGAGAGAGGGAGACACAGAACCTGAAGCAGACTCCAGGCTCTGAACTGTCAGCACAGACACCAACGCAGGGCTTGAACCCGTGAACCGTGAGATCATGACCTGAGCTGAAGTCAGACACTTACGGACTGAGCCACCCAGGCGCACCTCCCCGCCAAAATTTTTTTAATCCAGTTTTGATTAGCCTGTGGCAAAACAGTCACTTGAATATATTCTTTTTAAGAACTGTAAAATAATATCCTTTTGAAAAGAAATTTGACAGTAAGTGTCAAAGAGCCTTTAAAATATATTAACTCAACAATTGCACTACTGTGAATCTATCCTACAGAAATAGCAGCCCTAAACACAGAAAAAAAACTGTTATGCATGGATACCTTCATTGTAGGATTATTTCCAGTCACCAAAAAAAAAAAAAAAAAAAAAAGCAACCTAAATGTCTAAAAAACAGGAAAAAATCGTTAATTGTGATATTCACTCAAAATACTATATAGCCATTAAAATCAATATGTAGAAACACTATGCCATAACAGAAAAATGCTTATTATATATAAGAGCAAGCATGACACAAAAGTGTATGTTATACCCACACGTACTTATATCCAAGTAAAAAAAAAAACCATATACGCAGAAAAAAATACCTGGAAGATACCATAACTAGTCATTACTAATGTTGCCTTTACATGAGGAGATTATGGGCTTTTTAAAAAAATCTTTTTCAACATTTAATGGGAAGGTTTCTTTGGATTAAAGTTTTACCTAAAAAAATGTACTATATAACCAAAGAAAAAAAAATCATGATCGCTCAAAGCTTGCAAATATATCCAGGAAATCTTTATTATAAAGTTCACTAACTTCCAAAAATAGGAAATAGTACCAGCAATACATATACAGTAGTCCCTGCCTGCCTGTAATTTTGCTTTGCATGGTTTCAGTGGCCCCAGTCAACCAGGGTCTGGAAGCAGAAGGTCTTCCTCCAGACATAGCGTCAGAGGGTCAACAGTAGCCCAACACAACATCACAGCCTAAGTCAGTCACCTCGCTTCATCCCATCACACAGGCATGTTGTCATCTCACATCATCACAAGGAGGGTGAGTGCGGTACAAGAAGATTTATTGCTAATCACTCACTGTGCCTAATTTACAAACGGTATCATAGGTGTGTATGCACAGAAAAAAACGTATCTACAGTGTTCAGTACTATCCGTGGTTTCGGGCATCCACTGGGAGTCTTGAAACGTATCCCTGTGGGTAAGGGGCGATGGGGGGGCTACTGTAGCCTGAAACACATTTCCCTCACAAAAGTGGCCGAAAGAAAGAATGGGTGAGAGGAGAGAGCTGTTGGTAGGATGAAGAAGGAGCTTACGTAATTGTCTCTTGCAGACCAGCCTGGATAGAGCTGCATATGTAGCTGTCTTTCCTTCCGTGCTAATTCATAATATTTAGCCTGCTCTTCACGGGAAAGGGCATGCCACTAAAACAAAAAGAAGAAGGGAAAAAAAAAATTAAATGAAAGTAAAATAGCAACAATATTATATATTTCATGTTTCAAACATTCAAGAATGAAGATAATAAGCACTTAGACTCTGATTTATTTTTAAATGGCAGAAGAGCAAGAGCGGCAGAAATCCACTTGGGAGTCTGGTGGCGAGAGTGAAACTCAAACTTTGCTCGCTCTATCCTGTTCTCCAGTATCACATGAAACACATCAAAGGCAATTAAAGAATCCGAAGTAAAATGATCTGTCACTCACCCTTTCTCTTTTCCAATATAAATTGGAGAGAACTTTCACTGGTGACCTCAACACCCAACTCAGCCCTTTCTCATAGTTTGTACCATATTCTGATATTTGAGACTGAGCACCATGTATTTATGCAAAATGTGATAAGTTCCAGATGTCTTTTCCACCCAGATGCATCATCACCTCACACGGACACTTCCCACTCTGTCATATGAAGAGTCTGAAACCTTCATCCTATGAGCCAGTCTACAAAGCAAGACCTCAAGTCAGTCTGTCTGATTCCCCTCACCCTCTCCTCCTACTTGTAGAAATCCCACTGTCTAGAGGGAGCACACAGACAACCCCGTACAACTGCACGTGTACTCCTTACGGCTATGGTTTTAGCTTCCTTCTGATGGGAAGCAAGGAGCATTGTCCAGGGTTATTCTGCCATCTAGAAGCTGACCCTGTAGTATCTAATTTAAAGAACGTAAGGGCTGATACCCTGCAAACTTTCCATGTCCCTTTTAATAATTGCCATAATTATGTATCACAGTAAAACAGCTTATGTGGGCAAGACATCCGTTTGGGAATTTAAGTGGCTTATGTTTGCACACAACTTGCTCCAGGTCCCCTGGCAGGCAGTTTTCAAGTATTTTCCCCACTTCTTCAATGCCAGGATTTACCAGTGAGCCTTCTGGGAGGAACGGCTGGGCACTGGAGGGACCAACTGGCCAGAGGGGATGGCACGGAGGCACGGGAGAACAGACCTGACCCACACCACACACGCCCACGCTCTGGGTTAGCTCCCGCCTCCCCACTCCTGCTCACCCCCAGCTCTAGGGTGCTAGGAGATTCTTTCTCATTCATGGCTGCCCTGCCTATTGATTTTAATTTCCCTGTCATAGTTTTAAAAAGTAAGAGAAAAGAAAGGTGTGGCTAAACTGGGGAAAGGATGGAGGAGTGAGGGAGAGAGGTGATGAGAGAGAAAGAGTTCTCCTGGAAGAGACTAAGTCCTCCTCAGTTTGGACCCGGCTCCTGCGATAAGGCTAGGCAGCGTTCCTCAAGGAACAAACACCTGCTGCTCCCATTTCTTAAAAGACCAGGAACCCAATCTCAAGAGCACTTCAAGCACCTTCTGCCACATCCCACCCACCTCCCACTCCAGCCTCTGACACAGGCAGTGCCCAGGGGCAGGGCAGGGGATTCTGGCTCCTCTGGAACCAGTGCTTCTGTGCCTGGGCCTCTGCGTTGGATAGGCCAGACGGCTTATTTTTTAATTGCTTTAGAGGTGCCGAGTATCAAGTAGCTAAGAAGCATGACTCACAGCAGGACTTGGTCCAGCTTGAAGGCAAACCAGGTAGTATGTTTTTCTTTTAAAAAATGATGGGGGGGGGGCGGGCCCCGCACAGGCACTGGGGAGGTGGCAAGAAAAAAAAAAAACCTGAAAAAAGCTACGTGAGACACAGTTCTTTGTACTAGCAGAGTAAGCACAATTAGCAAAATCAAGCCGAAGAAGGAGGCATGTCTGGGGCAATAGTGTGAGTTTGAACCAGGCTTCTACCAACTGCTGGCTTTCCTAAGTCTGGAACACTGACCCAGTGCTAGAGACTTAGGAAGGGAAACCAAACTGGACACAGTGGAAAAGATCAGCCTTGACTGTTTGTTTGTTTTTGAGAAAAGACTAACCATCAATATCTACACAGTTCTGGTGCTAAATATGATTGGCAAAATGTTAACCAAAACGTTAACCAAAAAGGAACAAACAGGGAGACAAAAAGGGGAAAAAAAAAAGTAAAAGCATACTTTTTATAAATGTGTTTATTCATTTGACAAGTCAGAGTGCTCTTATACCAATGTAATATATATCAGTATAATTTCACATAGTTTATGGCAGCTTTATAACTTGCTGAGAAAACCTGGAATAAGTTTTATAAAACTTCTCTCTCAAAATACGTATGGAGGTTGGGTCTTCCATGAAATCAACCAGTTATTTTTCAGCTAAAACAGGACACAGGTTGACAAAACTGAGCAAAATGCAAGGAGAAAAAGCAGGCCACAAACTATATACTTGAATTTCCAATTGCTTTCAGTTCCCTGATATTTCTAATGCATAAATTAATCTACCCACACATAAAAGACCATTTACCAGAGTAAAATGGTAGGTAAAGCAATGATGTTAAGGCTTTATTAATGTAAACGAAAACAAAAAAAAATCCAGTACAAACTAGAAAGATAGTCTTTCTTTATAGGAATTTCTGCAACACAATGAGCTATAAAAATACTTTTCTATGTCTTGCTTACTGAAAATTTGAGTTAATCTTTTAAAAAAACCAAATTTCATTCTCAAGATGTTGTTGGGAAAATACTCATTTAACTTGGAAAAAAAAGTTTATCGTTCCAACATAAAAAAAAATTCTGACAATAAATTTGCAATAAATGGACTTCCTTTAACACCCTGGAAGGTCTGAAAAGGCTTATTTTAAATTAAGATTTGTACTATTATTATTTATAACATGAAAAAGAAAACCTTAATTCAAATGACTGAACATTTCTTTTTTGAGATATGTTGATGATGAATAAGAATCAAAAGATAAAATGTTCTAGGATGGATTTAAGTTCCACTTTTAAGAATTCTAATTATCTCAGTGTAAAACACATGATTTTAAAGCCAGGAACTTTAAAGAAACAGCAAGGACTACCCTGCCAGAGGGAAGTGATGAGAGGACAGAAAACCTGATCTTAATCAGAGATCTCAGAGACCTATAAATAGAAACAGGTGTCCAAATCAAAGACAGAGAGAGACCCCAAATGAGAACCATCCTTTAGGACACACGCTCTGATCTGGGGATTGTTAAGGGAGCTGAGAAAGTAGCAATTGTTGGAAACGTGCATTAAAAATAGGAAGCAAACCTCCGTATAATATCCTTACTTGCTCTCTTGAGCAGGAAAATAATTCCCACTGGAGGGCCAGGGGACCTTTAACTCAAAAAAGAAAAAAAGCTGAGAGTTTTATTCAAACTGAAAGAAGCACATCAACTCTTCTTTCCCTCCGGTTTCTTCTTTTAAAGGGTCAGGGGAATGGTCATCGGCCTTTAAGCTTTTAAGGTGAGGTTCCTCAAAGATGATGGGAATCATTTATCTGCTATGCTCTGGCTTGGGAAATCATTGTAATTATTGTTTTTAAGTGTTTAAGAATCCACAGGGAGGGACAGTATTATACACAGGGCACCAAGAGAGCTATAATCTGCCACCACACCCTACCCCCTGAAACCCGGGTGTCCTGCAGATTGGAAATAACTGCATTTTTATTCTATCCAACAGGAATCAATAATGCAAGTAAGCTGGCTTCCCTCCATCTGTTCACATGGCCTGGAAACCTCCTGAATGTCTTACGTTACAAATGTTGAAGCTTATTAGGTTTGTATCAAACATGGTAAAAATTATCCACAACAACAGCTAAAACACCATCCTCTAAGTTTCACAAAGGTTGTCAGACCTTCTTTGCCTAAATGTTCATTTACAAATCATGAATTCCTTGAGAGGCTGCAAAACACAAATACACGAGGTCATGATTTAAGTAGCTATCACACATATAGGAAGAGCATCAACAAATTAAAATGAAGCATTTCTAAAATTATAATTTCCCCACCATTCGTCAGATACCTAACGTTTTAAAACCATTTCAACCCTGAGAAAAGCACCTGGAAAGATTTACTAGCCTATGGGCCCGGTGGATGGAGAAAGAAAGTGTCCGTCCTACTTGTAGCCTACTTCCTGGTATACAGGTGATCTGAAAGATATCTTGGCATGGGTAAAAGAAGGAACGAAAAGAAAAGGGACAATCCAGAAATCATGCACATACACTTTAAGAACCAGAGAGCAATTTTTCTAGAATAAAGATTTCTCTGGCCCATATAAATTCTTCCAGTTAAAAGCTTCTGAGTAGAACAGATCCACTTCTGTCTTGGAAGGAGTGGCCACGTGCATTTGCCAGGGTTCTTCCAGAAGCTTGGCTGGTACTACATGGCCTTTCTATAGCTCCCTATGTGGGCTAAGTGCTTTCTTGCTTCAGACGGTTGTTCACACACCTGTCACTGCACCTGGGGAGGGTCCGTCCATCTCTCCCCACTAATCACTTGGTTAACTTCTACTCCTCATTCAGGTCTCAGTTTGAATACTATTTTCTTAGAGGGGCCCTTCCCTAGCTCCCTGTTACTCTTTCTCATAGTCTTACTCTTTACGTTCACAGTATTTATCACAATTTTAATTAACCACTGGGAAATTATCTAATATCTGCATCCTGTCACAAACCTTTAAGTTTCATGAAGACAAAGACCATATCTATTTTATCCAGCAATTATTATCTAATGCCTACCAGAGTACCTGGTACATGAAAGACACCCAATAAATGATAACAGGGGGAATGGTTAACATTTACGGGAGGTTTTCTATGTGCTAGGTACAATCTAAGTTGCTTACAATGCACTCTATCATTTAATTCTCCTAAAGATTATTAGCCTATCTTGTTCTGTTACTTCCCAAAGTGGCTGGTGATTATATAAATACATTCTATGACTACCTTTAAGGAAACAGTTCCAAGGTCACCATAAAAATTTACATATCCGCTCACCCCCAGACTACTTACCCTTCTGCCCAGAATCTGGTTGATAGCTGCACTTTCTTTTAGAGTACACTCAGCTACAACATTCGCTCTCATTTCTTTCATGTATAACATAAAAGCGTTCAGAGGCTTCTTAATGTGAGGTCTTTTTGGCTCCTGTTCCTTTCTCTGTTCATGCTGAGGCTTCCTAAAAGGTGGTTGGGATGATGTGGGGGCAGGGGGCGGGGAGGGACAGAGGAAGGAAGAGATGGGAGGAGAGAAGCAGAGCACCTGTTCATGTCACCAAAGTCAGGCCAGGGATAACCCTCTAGAAGGGTTGTCAGAACAGCATTCACTTAGAAAAACAACTCATTGGGAGTAAGGATCCTTTGGTTTGAGAAAGTTTACCTATAGTTATGGAAGTGTTTGACACAAAATGTAAAAGGGTTTGTGAAGATGCTCCATCTAGGACCCTGAGGCTGAGCTCCTTGGTTATCTCAGGAAAAGCTGAACACATAGTATGGGTAGTTATTCCTCTTTCAGAACTGAGGTTCTTAACTTTTTTAGGTCAAGGGCCCCTTTGAGAAGCTAATGAAACTCTAGACTCACTCCCCCAAACAAATGCGTGTTGGCTTTGCCTACATGTGCAGGGGTTTTATGGACTATCATATGCACCCTGCTACCCCAACCTCCCATCCTGGTCTACAAATCCTAGATTAAGAAACTCATTCACTAATCCCTTCAGGGAATTTAGTCCTGCTCTAACAGCCTGGGACAAACCCTGGCCCGACTGGGGGATCCTAGGCTTGGCTGTCCCTTTCCCTTGAATTCTGTGCTTTCGAAGCCTCAAGCAGGGTGAAGTGCGTGTCCAGAAGGAAATACATGGAATTTTCCGGCCTACTTCCCTCTGGTACCATCAGGTGCTCCCCAACAATCAGAACCCAATTTAAAACTTGGTAGCAGCTTTAGCAGCTCAAGATTATTCAATGCCCAGTCGGTTGAGCGCCCGACTTCAGCCAGGTCACGATCTCGCGGTCCGTGAGTTCGAGCCCCGCGTCGGGCTCTGGGCTGATGGCTCAGAGCCTGGAGCCTGTTTCCGATTCTGTGTCTCCCTCTCTCTCTGACCCTCCCCCGTTCATGCTCTGTCTCTCTCTGTCCCAAAAATAAATAAACGTTGGAAAAAAAAATGTTTAAAAAAAAAAGATTATTCAATGCCCACACTCTGAAGATTACTCTGTTTTGGTGAGATTCCCTTGATCTTCTGGGGTCTGTGCTCCTTTCCAATCTTAAAATCAGCACAGTGAGAATCAAGCTGCCTAAACTCCTCAGGGTCAGAACTTTCAAGGCAGAGCTACACTGATTTTCATACTAAAAGAGAGGGGGAGATATTCAACGGTAGCAGGAAGAAATTGTGTTTAAATCCTCACAGTATCTTAAGGTATTCAGAGGTGAAATCAGATGTGTACTCACACGTGCATTAGGTCACTGTCAGTGTGGGGATGTTCCTGCTTGACCTGAGGCGTTACGATAGCTGGATGAGGGATGCCAGTTGTGTGGGGACCAGGAGGACCAGGAATCATATGATGGGAAAACCTAAAAGAAGGAAAGGAAAGAAAGCATATGTACTAGTGGCTGTTGTAGCAAAAGGAGGCAGAACCCTGAAACATTCTACTAACTGCTAATGACTGAGAGTGAAAACACATCTTTATACACAGGAGTATTAACTACGAATTGGAGTGGGCCAATAATTAATTTCTTTCTGTATTCAGGTGGAAAATATTTATACTTATTCCTCATATAACAGGTTTTTGTTGTTGTTGTTGTTGTTGTTGTTTTGTTTTTTCAAACTAATAGAATCTGACATTTTTCCTGGGAGGGCTCTAGGTCCTAGAATTTAAAAAAAAAAAAAAAAAAAAAAAAAAGAGTGACTTTTCTTGCAAAGCAGTTTTTAAAGAAGGATTCCAGTTTAGTGTAATTGCTGGAAATATAACACTTTATTAGGATTTAGCTTTTTAAATGATTTTTAAATAATAGCTAAAGACACCACATTAAAATATCTCTGCGTACATTCCTAAGCAAACCACCACATTAAATAAATCTTCTCATATTGTTGGCTTCTTTATTGATAGTAGGAGACAATGAGAAAACAAGGGACTGGAAGGGTTTTTGTTTTTTGTTTTTTTAAAGCCCCCAATTTAATAAAGTTGCCATCAACATCATTGAAAACAATCTTTTACACAGAAAGTAATGTTTGAGAGATCTAGCCTTATGGAAAATTGATAATAAAATTAAGGGGCAGGATACAGTTCTGCACCAGGTAAAAACTACGCATGCTAAAGGCTTTTCTCCCTAGTATGCTAAAGAGCATAAAAAAAAATTTTTTTTTAAATATCCACCACCACACAAGCCAAAGGAGGGTAACTGCCATGCAAGAAAAAATAAAAGAGAGTACTTTCAATAAACGCTTTGGATAAATTTGAACATCCTGTCGAAATTTTTGCTTTTCAAACTGCTTTAAAGTTAACATTTAATTCAACAAGAACAATGTTCTCAGATCTTTTATCACATCCAGCACAATTAATTCCTTCATCTGGGAGGGAAAGAAGGCACTCCACTTGGATCAGGAACAAATTTTTAAAAATTAAGGAGGCATGGGAAAAATACAAATATTTGATTAAATAATGATGCTCTGCTACTTGGATCATTTGCAAAGATACATGATGCTGGTTATTTGCATGGGAGAAAATCCTGTCATCACAGAGTTCTTACAATGTTAAAAGGGGTAAAAATATATTTGGGGGGAAAGGTATTAACTTCATGCCCTTCCAACAAACTAGATTTCCAAGTTGCTGAGCAAATAATGATTTTTTTAAAAAGCTGAAATCCACCCCAGAACTTGCGAAGTTCATACCTATGTAAGTAAAGATTCACGACCAGTTACCAGCCCAACAGTTTGACTTCCAGCCCAGTACGGCTAGCTCCCCTGGACAAGCCACAGTGAACACACAGATGGTGCACAACAAGTGTGTGTGTACATCAAGCACAGGGCACAGACGCCATCCTCTCCAGAAGCAGAAGCATTACACAGAGCAGTGTGGCATGGCAGATCTCACAGAGCTTCGCTTGAACTAACATGTCCACACAGGGCCTGATTCACACACTAGGACACACACCCCAGATGGCCTGACAGCTCATAAGCGCCACTCATTCTCTTCTGACAGCCTTGGTCCAGGAAGGCTCTAGACTACCTGGGCATTTTCAAACACTGTCGCATTAAGCTGCTACAACTTTCCTCCAAGAAAGCAAATTACAGAACTCAGACCAAACCAGTCTTTATCCTTCCCCCTTCCCCCACTCCCAGAATATTTTGAATCAAACAAGCTCTTCTTATAATGTCTGCTTTCAGGACATTTCACATCCCACAGTCAGGAGGCAGTAAATTCTTTGGGACGCACAGTGTGGTGTGGCCGAGTCCATCTCCCTGAGGGGTGTGGCTGTGCTGGTGGGGTGCAGCGTTTGGCTCCTACCCAGGAGTCTCTGCGACATCTAGTGTGGGAGCCAGGCACACTGCACAGACAGACACGTGGCTGAGGTATGCACCCTCCTAGCCAACCGAGAGGCAAGCAGAGGCGCACACAATGCAAGCGCAGGAAGAGCAACTTGTCCTGGGCCCAGTTTCCGCCTCCACCTACCTGGACATGGAAGTGTCGACTGACAGTGAGGATGGGTAGGGTTGCCTGAATCCTCCCGTGATGGGATATACAGGCTGACCTTGCCTGAGGTCACAGAAGAAAGGAACCCATCAATGACAAAACACGAGTTACCAACCAGCAATAAGAGTTTGATGAGGGGAGAAGAGGGAGGGCTTCAAAAGAACTGTGTTGGGGTATTACAGACCACGGCATTTCTTCAGTTACCCAATGGCTTCCCTTCTTAACCTCCACCTGATCAAAGCATCATTTACCTTGAAGAGCTCCCACCCTCAACTTTAAAAACAAACCAGCCCATGAATTACCCTTCACCCCTTTCTCTCTCCCAGCCCCACTGATGCTCTGAACAAAACAGGCATGTAACAAATGTTTACGGAGTGTAACGGAACTGTGAGAATGGGGAGTACTCCTTTCAGAGTTTTGAGAACGTCAGGGGAGGAACGAGGGAGGGGAATGAAATTGATATAAAAATGAATAAACATTTTAAAAGCATTACACTCCCCCTACACTTCCGTATACTTATGCTATAGTCAAGAAATAAAAGATCAATTAATTGGAATTATTCCCTCTCCACTGTGAGAATTCCATCTCTCTTGTTTTTTCCCCACATCTCACATTTCTCATTTACACCATCTGTATTTCCAGCTACCACTCAGCACAGGATTATTGCCACTAAGTAGTAAGTTCAGACCGAATAGTTGATGTAGGTTTGAAGGTGTATGCATAATCAGTTAAACAGTTATTGACTGAGAGATTTAGTGCTAAATAGAGACAGACAGACAGACAGCTGGAATTTCCATGGCAGGATGACACCTTCTTGCTGAAGAAGAGAACATAAGGGTGTCGAGGTAGGGAGACTGGAGCAAGGATAGGGGGCCTTGGGGATAGAGGACCAGATCAAGAAAGGAGAGGGTCCATTTCCTAAAGCTAGTGCAGTGTTTCTGTGGAGAGAGCAGTGGGGAGAGGATAAATGAAGAAAGGGTGGGGGGAAGCTGTGTGCTAATAGTAAGATGATAAAAATAGGCTACACTAAGCCTTTCTTCCAAAAATATATTTCCTCTCCTTTACCTTTATAATTTAAAAATTTTTGAAAACAGCAGTAAGAATTTTTTTAGACATAAACAAGAAAACAGAAAGTGTTTGCATTCTGAAAAAAGGAAGTCCAAACATCAGTTTTTCACTTGTCTGAACTCAAACTGGTGCTTACTTTATTAACATTCAAACGATGCTTTTGTAGTTTTGAATTTCTAGTTATTTGTCATTTACTTCACCTGCTCATTTTATAAGCAATGTGTCTAAGTTTGTTTCAAAAATAAGTTGTTCATAAAAAAACTAGACAAGAAAAACCACACTGAGCACTCTGTACAGGCATAGCAAGTGCCCAAAGCCACAAATTGAATCCATAAACCTATAAGCTTCAAAGCAAATGCTAGTCATTTTCTACACATATTAGCAAAGGCATTCAATCCATTTCAAAGTCTGTATGTTTTTCAATCTTTCAAATTGAAATAAAGTTAGCACCTTGCTTGTTGATGTGAAATTTCTTCAACTCTGCAAGTGTTATCATTCATAAAGCTAATTTCCATGAATGGAAAGAAAAACATGTGTTCAAATGCCTGACTGAAGGTTGCAGGAAGGATCTTACCAGCCAAGAGGTGGGGTAATCTGTCCAACACCACCTGGAGACAGAGGATAAAAGGTAGGGATCTCAGGAGCTGGAGGATGTCTGGACATGCCTGTTCAAAAGAACAATGAAGGAGTAGAGTTTTCAGATCCACAGAACATTTGACTATAAGGATAACAGAAAAGCAATAAAGTACTTTATGCCATTAATACTTAAGGTCTAGCACCAAACAATGTTTACCGGATGCATTTAATTGAAGTCTGTTTGTTAGCTTTTCTCAAGATTTCAAAATGTGAGAAATCACATCTTAAGATAGGACATCCTGAGGAACTCTTGAAAGAGTAAGTATGCTCTGTGTGACCATAATGAGATTTTCAAATTTTTTAGTTTGCCCTCATTATTTCACTTTGGTCAGGAAAATGGTAGACAATTGTTTGTGTGTAGAATGGAAAATGACAGCCTTCCTAAGTAGATGGCCTGCCATGACGCTCAAGGATTAGGTAAATTGCCACTTTCATATTTCCATTGGCTCCCTTACGGACACATAGATTTGGGAAATGTGATACCTCGGAGGATCAAAGATTAATTAGGAATCATCTTCAGCCCCATAATGGTCACACTTGATATGATTCATTTGGTCTCTGCCACTTCAGCTTCAACTAAGCTCTTCATCAAGATGAGTCCTCTGGGCTCCAAGGTCAAGCTGTTCTGGATTAGTTGTATTCCACAGAAAATGAGAATGCCACCAAATTGTTTCTTGAGCTCACAGTCCCTGGGGTACACTGCCCTATAACTGTAAAAACCACCTAAAGATTATACCTAATCCCAGTCCCAAATGACATCTCTTTGTTTATATTCTACCTTGGGTGTAGAAAAGAAGCGATCCATGCATAAAAATGCAAAACATAAAAACCTAAGATTCGGTGCATTTTGGGGAAAGTGATTCTGATTAGGAAAAAAGCCACAAAAGTTTCTTTATATAGTTCATCTGGCCTAAAAAGCCCACTTCCATATATAAGCACACGTTTCCACATTTAACACCCAGATATGTATTCAACGGTTATGTTCAGACCAACATGTGAAATTAGGTGAGCACATGAAAGATGCTCTTTAATTATTCTGTTTTTACTGTTTAAAATGCCTATGAGTTTCATTTGGGTCTTAAAAGATATTTAAGGTCTTGAACATATGGGAATGACTTAAGTGTTGCCTTCAAAGTGGATGTTAATTTGACTCTGAAGTTAGGATAAACTATTTCTCAACTCTCATAGGAAGCAAGTAGGAAGAAGGTTTTTAATCCCTCAACAGCTTACATGAGATTATCTCATTTTTGCTGTTTTTAAAAGATTGTCTCAAATCCCTCCCCTTTTTGGCTAGAAATACCACTGCTTATGGGTCACAGTGGACCCCAAATTTCATACTCTGGGATTTTTTTTTTTCTTGGGCCTGAGGAAGTTCAGGCAGTGGGGTGAATCTAAGGGAGCCTACAGTGATGATTCGTGACATCGGATTCACTGGGGAGTTTCTCCAACATGCTGCCCCCCACCCCCGAGATCCAGAAACCTCCCCAGATATTAGGGTCTGCAGCGGGGCTGCTCAGTTTAAAAAGAAAAATCAGACTAACTCACAAGAGCTCTGGAACCTTCGTGGAAATTTGAGCTTGAAAATCATGACTAGAGGTTACAGACTATCAGAATTGTCCACTTTAATCCTTTGTTTTGCAAATGGGGAAACCAAGGTGTGGGATGATTAAGTGACTGTTTAGGCATCCGGTTAAGGTACCTACAAAATATGTATTGTCCTGGACTTTTACCCCTGGGACACAGCCATGCGTAACTTGCTGATGTCATCACACATCTAAGAAGACAAGCCTAAACCCTGCTCTCCGCTCTCGTCCACGTTCCAGGCACACTTAGAATGCTGCATCAGTGATTCTGTAGTAGCAGGAGTGATGCAAACGAACACAATACAAACTAGGTTGATTTGGTTTTACTGCTCCAAGGTTTCAGAAAGGGGGAAACCACCATTTACTTAGCACTTGCTACATGCTAGTTCCTATGCTGGGTATTTAGTTTGACTGTTTCCACTCATACTTCAAATACCCCTCCTTCTAATGTCTATAGCTCTGAGATATCTTTCTTTCTTGTTTGAATCTATAATGTTTTATTTGTACTTGTAACAGGGTACTTAAGATGGTCTTCATTTTGTATTGTAGTTAGTTTGTGCCAATGATTTTTCCGTGTGAGCTTATATACTGCTTGGAAAAAAGAGACCATGTTTTACCAATCTATGTTCCAAACTATGGTGGTCTCCAGAGGAGGTTCTCAATAAATACTTTTGAATGACTGAACAAATGAACTAGTAGTGTTTAAACAGACCCATTCTTCATTCGTCAATATTACCAACAATTCTGCCAACCATTATACCAACAAGCACATGGTGTGGCTTAGGCCATTACATGAACAGAAAATGGATCTGTGTTTTCTACACAGCCTATTGTCATGTTAAGATCCTAGAAGTGGATCTCCACCAACTGCTATGCTACTGAAGACACATTTCACATCATTCATTTAACTAATATTTACTAAATACTATGTGAAGGAGAGGCTATACACAGCATAGCCTTAATGATTTTCTTTTTAATGTTTATTTTTGAGAGAGAGACAGAGAGAGAGAGAGAGACACGGAGTGTGAGCAGGGGAGGGGCAGAGGGAGAGGGAGACACAGAATCTGAAGCAGTCTCCAGGTTCTGAGCCATCAGAGCAGAACCCAACTCTGGCCTTGAACCCAGACACTACCAGATCATGAACTGAGCCGAAGTCAGCTACTTAACAGAGTGAGCCACCCAGGCGCCCTTAGCCTTAAGGATTTTTAAGCTTTTATAAGTAACTCTGACAATTACAGATGAAATGATTCTGGAATCAAACTCATATGGATCTATTAATTCCTTTTTTTTTTTTTTAAAGTTTATTTCTTTTGAGCGAGAGAGAGAAAGCACAAGTAGCGGAGGGGCAGTGAGAGAGTGAGAGAGAGAATCCCAGGCAGGCTCCATGCTGTTAGTGTGGAGCTCAATGCAGGGCTTGAACCCATGAACCATGAGATCATGACCGGAGCCAAAGTCAGATGCTTAACTGACTGAGCCACCCAGGTGCCCCTGGATCATCAATTATGCCACTCACTAGCTACTTATCTTTGAGGAAGCTATTTGTTATTGTTCTTTAAAATCAGTATAGAGGCGCCTGGGTAGCTCAGTTGGTTGGGCATCTGACTCTTGATTTTGGGTCAGGTCATCATGAGCTCATGGTTTGTACGATCAGGCCCCAAATTGGGCTCTGGGCTTATAGCGTGGAGGCTGCTTGGGATCCTTTCTCCCCCTCTCCGCCCTGCCGCGGCTCATGCACGCGCATTCTCTCTCTCTCAAAAGAAATAAACTTAAAAAAAATAAAATCAGTATAAAAATGGAATAGGGGTTGTTGTGAGGAATAAATGCATGAATATATGTAAAACAGAAAAATGCTTGGTACACAGTGTTAAGTGCTATGTGAGTGTGGTTACTTATAAGGATACAATGGGTAATACAAAGACAGATATGTAAAGCCAACATTTCCTAAAAGCTCTTTCTTTCCAACGTTTTCGTAAGACATAATGAGAAGAAAATGACTGGTATCAGCTTCCTTTCCCTTTCCCACACCTACAACCTATACCCACACACATACCCCACACCAACACGGTGAGAGAAAGGTAAAAAAAACTGAATGTGTTTCCTACTGTGAAACGAACCTAAAGTTATTTTCCTACAAATGAGAATGAGTTCTGCTACAGTATATGTTTATTGGATAGTTCTATCTATGGTTAAAGCATGGACATAATACTTTTTTATTTATTATTTTTTTTTTTAAATAAAACTAACCAGCCTCCCAATAGTTTTGAAATTAGCAACTCTGGCCTCAGTACCACCATGTTCTAACTAATTTAGCTACATGATATAACTAAAAAGACTGGCAGTAGAAGACAAAGAGAATAAAAGCAAGAGACCTAGTGAGCTTTTTACTTATGTTTTGGTGATGAATGTGACCAAGTGGAATGATACAAACCCCAAATCACGTAAATTAGTTCTTTTTAAACCAAAGTTACATATCCCCAGAGAGAAATGGTGACAAGGTATATAAACTCTTTGCTCACAAAAAAGTAGCAAAACAAACAAACAAACAAAAAAACTATATTAAGAAAAAAAACAAACACTGTATGCAGAGTAGAATGCAAAAATCACAAATTTGGGGACAAAATAAGAACTTCAGAGAAAATGCAATTTTCTGATCATGCTCACTTGTTCTTTATCTAGTTCTGGAGAGTTTGTTTAAAAAAAAATTTTTTTAAAGCAATGATATAAATTACAATTAGTAAGACAAAACAAGGTAGGGCAGTAGAAGAGATGGAAACAAAATACAAATGTAACTGGTAGCCAGTCATAAATTTGTCTTTTTAAAAAATAGAACTGTCCTAGGATTCTTGGAAGAAAAAACTTCTGAACCACAATGTGTTATTTTTTTTTAAATAAGTGTGTTTCAAAGTGATTAGAATAGAGCCTAGGACATAGGAAGCACCATGTAATTCCTAAATAAATAGTTAAAAACCAAATAAATCACACTATTGGATTCTTTGAGCCAATAGCTTGTTTGAGGCTTTTATATCTATCTTTAACTGTCATTTATAGCTTCATGGCTCCCAGATATGCATCTCTAGCACAGATATCACTCTGAGATGGTGACCTATAAATTACCTACCTTCTCTCTCCCTCCAGATGTCTATAAGGCACCTGAAATCACCACCATGACCAAGGTCACACTCTTGATCTTCCCTCTCAAACTCCACCTTCTTCCTAAAATACCCATCTCACCATACATCCTCAGACCTGTCTTGATGTTTCTTATTCCTTGGAGGTCCTTGATAAAAGGAAGTAGAGGAAGGACTGGAAATGAGGAATAAAACCAAGGCAAACCCGGAAACATCCGCATAGGTGATTCTTACATTTCCTAGGTAAAGGGTACAGAGCTCCACTCAAGCCAAAGTCTGACAGTGACTAAGTCCTCAAATAAGCAGTTTTAACAATGGATGGGAATTAAGGCATTGAGGATGTAACCTACAAGAGTGCACAGTAGTGGAAAAAACACCCAGCCTCTGAACTCCACTCTTTTTCCACACTTACTAACTTTTCTTGTCCACTATAGTTCAAAGATAAGGCTGGAAAAAAGGGTGAAATGCCGGTGATGGCAGACTTTACATCTTTACATTCTCTGTTTTCACACAGTTTTATAGGATCTTTTATTTTGAATTTCTAAAGATCCTGTTGAGGTCCAAGTGTGTATGTACATGGAAAGAGGAAAGGCAAACAAATTCATCTTCAACGTATGCTCTAAGCAGAATGGACCAGAAGGCCTGCAGAACCTGAGCTCTAAGTCCTACAACCAACTCATACCCACACCCATCAGGTTAGAAACTGGGAATTCTGAGAGTGCCTGGGTGGCTCAGCTGGTTGAGTGTCTGACTTTGGCTCAGGTCATGATCTTGCGGCTCATGAGTTCGAGTCCCGCATTGGGCTCTGTGCTGACAGCTCAGAGCCTGGAGCCTGCTTCAGATTTTGTGTCTCCCTCTCTCTTTGCCCTTCCCCCACTCGTGCTCAGTCTCTCTCTCAAAAATAAACAAATATAGGGGCGCCTGGGTGGTGCAGTCGGTTGAGCGTCCGACTTCAGCCAGGTCACGATCTCGCGGTCCGGGAGTTCGAGCCCCGCGTCAGGCTCTGGGCTGATGGCTCGGAGCCTGGAGCCTGCTTCCGATTCTGTGTCTCCCTCTCTCTCTGCCCGTCCCCCGTTCATGCTCTGTCTCTCTCTGTCCCAAAAATAAATAAAAAACGTTGAAAAAAAAATTAAAAAAAATAAATAAATAAAATAAACAAATATAAAAAATTAAAAAAAAAAACCTGGGCATTTTGATTTTTCAAACTTCTTATGCTATGTGTTCTTCTATAAACAATATAGAAGCAGAACTGGGTAATAATGTAGAGAAGCAAAACAGGATTCATGTTACTTTGACTTTAACAGAGATGGTTTTATACTTTAATTATTATTAATATCTAAGTTGGTGCTGGTAAATAACAAAAAGAGGATAAAACATAACAAGGACTAAAACCAAAAGAAATCACAAAAGGATGAAAAAGAGAACATTCAAAGTAAAAATCTCCTATGCTGTCTGTTTTCTAACATTTTTCTAACACTACCATCAACACCTACAACTGCAATAAATGAATACTGTAGGGGGCACCAAGCACTGAATTTTTAGTATATCTGTACAATATATTGGTTTATATGGTGGATTCTAGATTTTCAAAGCTGTCACTTTGAAAATAACCCTTTTATGTTTTTCTTCTTCTGTTTTTTAATCCTGAAAAATAAAAGTAGTAACAACAAATCTTTTAAAAAACTCCTACCAAACAAATGTATTTTGATCCACCCAGTGACATACAGCAAAGGCACCTGTACAGGTACTTGGTCTGATGAGATGTGGCTCCTCACTTACCGAGAAAGGCCCAGGAAGGCAGGGGCTCTCACCTTGTTTGGAGTTGACATCTGAAGGGAGGTGTGAGGGGTGTGATCCTGGAGAAAAGTGCTCGTCGCTGTACGTGATAAGGGGGGTGAGAGGATGGACCGCGTGTGATGGCTGCACCACAGGCACCTTATTTGACTGCAAAGTAACCACAAGGTCAACAGTTAATAGGAACACCTCTCCCAAAGAAACAGTCACAAAATAGCAGTAACTGGGCATTAGCACAACCCAAGAATCATCTCTAGACCTGAAAAATTGAACTCATCTGCTGTACTCATTACACCTTCAGAATTTTTCCATGTTAAATACTCAAGTATATGGGTATCATATACTATCAGTTACTCAATCAGCACCTATGAGACTTTTAGGTTGATTATTATTTCATATTACATAAATTTCTGTGCATACATATTTATGACCTTCTGGATTATCTCCTCAGGTTATGTTCAACTGTTCAACCCGGAGTTACTGGAGCAAAAGTCACAAACGTTTTATAAACTCTTTTTTATTCACTACATATGTCTGCAATAAAAAGGCACTCAAAAAACTGTTCAATAAACAAATAAATGAATATTACCAATTTGAAGGTCAAATTTTTAAACAACCCAATCAATATAAATTTTCTGTACTGATATCCCCTTAGTGTATATAATTTGTAAGTCTATAGTTTGTACATCTTACAGAACCACATTACAACATTTTTTTTCATGTCTTATAGCTTTGTCAATCAAATATGACCATCCATTCATTATGCTTTAGCACTACTCGGTTCGTCTTCAGGTTCTCTAGTTTCTACAAGTTTTGACTGATAAAAGGGAATTTCTAATCTTGAGTTTAACTGCATAACGGGAAATGTGGCCTGAAAGAACACTTTAAATTGTTAACATTTTATAGGTCTTATATTAGCTTAAAAGTAAATTTTATTATTGAATTTGGAAGTCTAAAATTACATAACAATAATATTTTTAAAGATTCAGGTCATTTTTTGGGCTGTATCAATTTGAAATCTGGGATCTCTTTGTTTTAAGTTTAATCCCCCCACCACCAAAGGAAGTGCTTACTAAGCAAGTAATGTAAACAAGACTCAGGCAGTTTAAACTGATTAGGGAGATTGTTTTTGATAAACTCTACACTGCCTCCCCCTGCCCTTGAAAAAAGAAAGTAAACTCGATGCAATTATATACATGCAAAATATGTTTCTGGTTTTAAACTTATCCATTAATTACAGCAGCCCCAGGAAGGTCTCAATTTTTACAAACACTACAGTAATAAGTAACTTGTGATTTAAGAGAAATAAAATACAATGAATTTTGAATATTCACTAAGTACCTAGTTCAGACAGGTCTTTACCAGTTTGAATCAGTGAGATTTTTACTGTGCTATAAAGTAAAATACATGTGAAATCTGTTTCCCCAGAAGCAAATATCTATATTAAAAATATATATATATTGAGGAACTACCTGACAACTGCACAGTATAAACTGCTTAAAATGTGGGTCCATGTTGAATGGTTAAGAGCCCTATAACACACTTGCTGACATACACACTAATTTTAAATTTGGTGTTTTTGTTTGTTTTACAAATTAGATATAAAAAGTATGTGGCTCCAACGGGAAGGACTACCCTCAGGAAAATTAGGAACAATTATCCTAGTAACACTTAATTCTCTTTACAGCTAGTAATACTAATTTTCTATACCCTATCATTACAACCTCCACCCAAAAAAACTTATTAAAAAAAGGGGGGGGGGAATCACCCTTTTTTAGACAATGACATAATTTCCATACTAGATTTTCCCTGTATGATCAGCTCCTGTCTAATGGCAGAACTTGCACAGCTCGTATAGCCCTGGGCATTTATTAAATAGAGCACCATTATCAAAGCCCCATGCCTTTTCTCTATATACCTCAGCACAGACATCTATGCATATAAATGTGTGAAAGGTTAAAAAAATGTTTCAATGCTTTTCAAGTGTTAATGATGCAGTTTGCCAAATACACAGAATGAGCTTCTTAAATACAAGGAATTTAGAATGCTACAGGAGGTGGGGTGGGGGTGGGGATAGAAGGATATCATTACAAACCCTTTTTAAAATGGAAACAAAAATCTCAACACTCAAATGCTAAAATGAATACATTTCAACTCCACTAAACTGCTTTGAGTCTCATTTCAAAAGTCTCATAAGAAGCATAATTGCCAAGCAATCTACAAAGGTATTTTCTTGGAGTGCTTATAAAGAGTAAGCATTGCAGAAATCTTCTGGAAATATATATATTTTGCATGCCTTTCTTATTTCCAGAGCACCACCTTAAGGAACCTGCATTAGCAGGCAGCATCTTCTTAATGTCTGACCTATCCCTCCAGTCATATAGCTCAGAATCTGGTGCCATGAATTTTTGCTAAATTATGCTATCCTTGCTCTCCTCTTAATTTTACGGTTTTCAACACAGATTTGCTTTCCTGTGGGAAGAAGATAAGAAGCTGAGGATTTTAATTTAAGCTCTGGCCTTGTCTTATATTTTGCAAGATGGATAGTGAAAGCAGTACTAGTAGGTGTGTTAAAGCCAACAAGGATTATGTCCATTTTTGTGGCCAAATAATAAAAGCAATATGAAATCTCAATAATATGTGTGAGCACAATTCTGGGGTTTGTATTTTGCCTCCTGCTGACCACCTCCACTATGTATATAAACGGATCCAACCCCTATGCTAGACATCACCAGCTTGATCACGTGTCCACAGCCCTAAACTGTGGGCTTCCTCTGATAGGAGGAGTTCTTGTTCTCTGATACTATATGTACACACAAGGCAAGAACCCAGGCAGTGGTACTCTGTGTAAGTTTGAAGACAGACAATATAACCATTCTTAATTCTAGTCCTCTAATCTCCAAATACCAGTGTGGTGTATGTTGTGGTGGGGAATAGTTGTGGTGAGGAACAACCATTTGACTAGCTAGTCAAAAGGACAATTTTATGTAACTATATTATAATGCGCGGTTATACCTGTATATGAGGGCATACGTGTATATTGGTTAAACACCTAAAATGTGCCAAGCGCTCTTCTAGCACTGAAGGTCAAAAGAGACAAGGTCCCTATTCTTCCTCAGCTTCCTTTCTAGGTAGGGGCCTGGGAGTGGGATGGGAGTATTGGAGACAAAGAAAAAATACGTAAAAAAAAAAAACAAAAACAAAACCAAAACAAAAAAGACAGCAGCAAGTACTATGAAGAAAAGGAACTGGGTGATAGGAAAGCCAGTGTGTATCTAATTATATGCCTTCATATCACATTAAAAGCTGTAAGAAACCAAAATTTCATTTTAAGATTCGTATTTTCTAAGACGAGAAGCTGAGAAATGGAGGCCCCAGGAAATGGATGATCAAGCCATGACTACTGCCAGCACTTCTAATAATACAGCCTTGCTCACTACACAACTGCAGTGATACAGGGTCGCAATGCATAAAAAGGGAATGGAAACCCCTGGGTCACTACACACAGTGGAATCAAGTAGTAGAGAAACACCATCTTCCCGGCTCCCACTCTATACCGGGTACTGTGTACCCAGGACCTCACTGAACAGAACCCAGGTCTCCCGACTCCCACTGTGGTGCTTTTCCCCACTACACATCTCCCTGTAAGGTAGAGATGAAGGGTAAAAATCACATTGACTCTTTTTTCTTTCGTAGGTACAGTCAAGCGCATTCACAGGTACATTCATTGGTACATAGGTACATTCACAGGTAAAGTCTTAGTTTCCAGTGGAAAATCACCAGGTATTTTCAATGTGTGTCCTTTGTTTCATTATCCCGGGGTAACAGCACCCACTAGTAATCCCATCTTTATGAGATAACCTGGCGACCTTGAGACATCCTGAATCTTCCACTGCTGCGTAGAGAGGTTCAGAAACTTGTCTAGGCTCACATGGCAGTAAGTGGCTGACCCAGGACACAGACTCTGATCTTCCAACTACATATTCTTTAATCTCAGGCTGGTGAACAAAAGACAGGTAAGAAAGATGTTAAGAGAAGGTACCAGAAAAGGGAAAGAAAATATAAGGGGCGTGGGGAGACTCTAGAAGACAACTCTCTCATCTACCTACACTCCGCACCCACACATGGCTATCAGTAGGAAGCCTGCAGTCTTTTCCCAAGCTTGGAAAACTACCAGGCCATGCTACCATAATAATTATTATGCAACTAACACAAGTGCTTACTGTGTGCTAAGCATTTTATAGTACCTTTAAAGCAGGTACTATTATTATCCTTCTTTTACAGGTGAGGAAACTGAAGCATAGTGAAGTCAAGGAACTTTCCCAAGGGGACAGAGCTAATAAGTGGCAAAGCTAGGTTCAAATGCAGCAGTCTGGCTCTAGGGGCCACGTTCATTACCAGCACAGCATGCAGCCTCCCCGAAGAGCCAAGTTCATAAAATCTTGGACACTGAGTTGACCATCTGGGCCATACCTGACAGTATGTGACATAGATGAAATGACTGTGTGGTCTCTGTCCCAGGCACAGGAATCACACCAGACAAAGAGGCACCTCAGGAGAAGTGGTCAGAGCTGCAGAGACTCAACTGGCGCCTTTCTCTCCAGGACTGGAAAACATTCCAAGGAAGCTAGCTTGGCTGCCACCCAGGCTGGTCCTTGCAGGTAAGGACCTCTTTGGCATCATAGCCAATAAAACCCACACCTCCTGTGGACACGAAGTGGGTGCCACTTAGGGATCCTGAGAGCCACCCCCAAAGCAGCGTTCCCAGAAATGACCCACTCACCGCTGGCAGTAACTCAAGCTGCCATGAATGTTGTCAGCCTCCGAGGATGTGGTTCTGGGAAGGACTAAAAAGTGGTTCAGCACCCTCCTGGCTAAAGCCGTGGGCCTGCTGGTAAGAGCAGGAATTGGGGGAGAAACCTGCTGGTCTAGTAGCTTGTCCCCATTCTGCACATCCCCAGATTTCAACTAAACCCACAGTGCAAGACCTGGCTGTGCATAAAGGCCTTGAGTTCCATTTCAATTGGCTGTGCATTTTATCAACGATCCTGCTGGTAATAACCAAATCCAGAGAATATTAACATTCCACCAACTTACCAAGATGAGGCATTTCATCTGGCCTCAATTTTTATGGTGCGATTTTACTTTTT